TGTTGCTACACTGCACCCTGACTGGCTTGCCACCTCCCCACAACCCTTCTGTAAGGGGGTGTCCAGATGCCTACAAATGGGATTTGGGTCCTCACCACACACTCCACCTCATTGCCAATGATATGAGTATTTTGTTCTTTGATGTCCCTTGGACACCTAATGATCATTCAGGCTTGTGTGCTTCTTCTATGTGGGCTTTGTTGCCTCTGAGCTAGATGGTCGCTTGTTTACCTTCAAGCCTTTAAGACCCCATATGCTATATTTTTTGGTAGCCTGGCACCATGAACTTTCTACACCACTTTTGTTTATGCACCCGCTTTGTCTTCAGTGATCGTGTTGGTAAGGTGAGCACCATGGAATGCCTAGACTGTAACTGTTAGTGGAAATAGAAAGCTCCGTCTTTCTCCTAAGAAGAGACTGGTGGTTTTGAACTGTTGATCTTGTGATTAGAACGTCAATGTATAACCCACTATGCCACCAGGGCTCCCAACTACCTTAGTATCACATATATAAGGAGAAGCTGAGCAATGTTTCCCCTAATCCCTAATGGTGTCATTAAATAAATACTCAAATGCAAATGGGAATAGAAGTTATGATTACAAAAAAGAAAGTCACTGAATGCCTAAATAAAATGCATGTAATAAATTTTGAGGAAGAAATTTCTTCTAAGAAAACAAATTATGCCCCCAAATATATAACTTCCTTGATATACATATATATATATATCAATCACATCATACAGAAAAGATATTGTAACAGACACATTTCATTTTATTTTTACAGAAATTTGGCAAGTCAAATAAAACAAAATAATAAAACCTACTAAGAAAGCGTCTTCCCTTATTATCCAAGGTACCTATATTTTAACAGCAAAGTATTCAAGTACAAGACTATTAAGAGATATGAATTTAAGTACTACACAATGACTAACATTCCAAAATTAACAAAAGAACCAACACTCACCCGAAAGACATCACTCAACCATCTTGGAACATATTTGGAAGTGAGAGGCCCAGTGAGTCATTTCTGTCAAGAATCATAACCCCGCCCTAATGTACATTCATGACTATTCCTGAGACTTGTTTCATATTCATAATCCTCTCAATTTACTTCTGTAAATCCCTTTTGTTAGAAGCTTGTCCTGGTGACTCTAGTCCTGGATCGCTCCTTGCTTGATTAACCAAAATAAAGCTTTCTCTTTTCGTTTTCATACTTTTCTTGTTTCTCCTCCACACTCAACTAGGTTTAAGTTAGTAACAAAGTTACATTTTAAATAAAGTTGCACTGGCTTTAAATGTCTTCCACATGTCAGGGTAGAACAGGACAATCTTTCAAGAAAAATGTACCAATTGACATTACTGAATATGCAGTCAGCAAAATGCCCTGGGGCATCGGATTTCCTGTTTCTGATGAGAGAAGAGTGCCCAAGTCCCCCAAACGCAGGCAAACATCTTACTTCCAATTTGATAGAAACGTTTTGTCTAAGTGGTAGACAAGTCTCTATCTTACAGAAAGAAGATTTTTTATCCATTTTAATGAAAAGTATAAGCCAGTCCAAGAAGATATTTCAAAAGGTAATAGAATCTATTAGTGGAGTTCGAGATTTTGATGTTGTTCAAAGTTTATTGACACCTTTGCTGGTAGCCCTGTAGTCTTTAGGCTGTGTTTGCTGATTAACTTGTGTCAATGAGAGAAGTCTATGTGTATAAATATTGGACTTTAACAGTAACAAGGCTTGAAGGCCTAGTTCTAATCCGTAGCAGTGAGCATTTTAGGTGTAGGTTGAGATCTGCACGTCCTCCCTTAACCTCTGCATCCAGAAAGAGGTCAAACTGACACTACCTCCCACACAGTTTAAGACCCCCAACTGCAAAGTGAACCAGCCTAGGAAGGTTGCATTCTTTTACCTTTTCCTGAAGTCTTTATTGGAGAGCAGAGGCCTTGAGAGACTTCTTTGGTTCTGTTTAGATAATCTTTTCATTTTTGTTAGAAAGGTGGGCCCTAGAGGGCGTTTATACACCATGTCTTTGATTTTACAATTTCTTGTAAAACAATAGCCTTGTGTTATTTTCCGTGCTGTCTCTCTCTCCTCTCCCTTCCTGCCTGTATGGAACCTCTTTCCACTGCCTCGCTCCCCCATCAGACTCTGAAGTGCCACTCAGGGTTGGTTTTATGCTTCCAACAATTTCCAAAACAAACAATGGAGGTTGCAATCAGCCTGTACTCCCTCACTGGAGTGCAACATTATCTCCCAATCCGAGCAGCCCAGGCTGCTATTGGAGGCAGGTCTGCTCCCTAAAAAGCCGGTGTTTGCCAATCTCTGCACACTCTGCCAGGTCCTGACAGCAGGATTTGACGGTGGATGGTTTACACATGTCCATTGGGAGAGAGAAGACTGCAAAAGAAAAGAAGTTAAGCTCGTCACTGGTTTGATAGTTCTCTCCTTTCATTCCACTTATTTGAAGAGAGCTATATACGTGTGTATATATATTTTTTTTCTCCAGAAATCATTTTTTTTTTGTTTTTGGACTTGGGTATTTTCCCCCCCAGCTTTCTCACCATTACCTATCGTCAGTGTTCTCTCTCCCATCTCCTCTCTCCCTCCTTACCCCAGACGCTCTTCCAAAAACTTCGCTGTGCAAGGTTCGTTTTGCCTTCTCCAGGGATGGCTTTGAACTCCAGAGCCCATGCCTTCTCAGTGGAAGTCTTGGTAGGGAAACTCGACAAAAGAAAACTTCCAGACCCGGCAGAGAAATCCCAGCCTGAGCTCCAGGGAAAAGAGGATGACAAGGAGAGGAAGAGGTACTGCCCGGAAGTAAAGAAGAGCGAATGTCCTGGTAAGTAACCCTCGCAGTCCCAATGCCCTTGTTCCTCTGCCTTCGCAAACCGGATCTTTGCCTTGCTCTGCCTGACTGGCAGTGCTGAGGGTGGGTGGCTCACCCTGCCACAGGATGCCCTTGTCTAGTTGGACTGCAGCTACCAAACTCCCGAGGACGTTTCAGTTTTTTAAAGGTTGGAAGGCTGCGGTTTGTTTCTGGTAAAGTGGAGGGTCCCCCAAGCTTGTGGAGAATTGAGGCTCCCTTAAGCTCTGAGAAGCCCAGAGAACCAGAGGAGATGGCAGCCCCTTAGGGTAGGAATGATCGCAAGTCCTCAGATCCCTGGAGGAACTAGTTTCCAAAACAGGAAGTCTTCCGGGAAAATGAGGCTGGGTAAATCTCAAAAAGAGCTGCGTCTGTTTCCAGAGTTCCAGAGGAGCCCTCTTAGCTCATTACAAGGTTGCAGGGGGTGTAGGCAGAAAGTTGGGTATTTGTGGCCAAGGTTTCTTGGAAAGGGACAAACCAGCCTGCCTTTATACAGGCTCCAGCAAGGAGGTGCTCGAACTGGAAAGCTCTCTCAAACCCGTGGCGTCTCCGTGCTCTGCTCAAAAGCGACCCAAACTAGAGCCCTCTGCAAGTCTATTCACTGGTGGCGGCAGCAACTGCGGGGACGGCGGCGGCGGCGGGAGTGACAAGGAGGAAGGGGACTGCGAGGATGCTGTTGAGGACAGGGATGAGGAGGGCCTCGGCGGACGTCTGGAAGAAAAAGATGCTATCCACGTGGAGCTTCAAGGATCCGAGCTGTGGAAAATATTCCATGACATTGGGACTGAGATGATCATTACCAAGGCGGGCAGGTTTGGCTCTATCCAAGCGGTTAAAGGGCTTCAGGATCAGCCCTGCACAAAATAGGCGCGTCATATGCAGCCCCCCACCCACCTGGTAGAGTCCCTGCCTCCCCTTTCAAGCTTTAGCAACCTCTACTACCACTCCCCGCCTCCGGGACAAGAATTAGAAAGTGTCCGTCTCTTAAGCAGTCCGTCCAAGACTTGCCTCGCTTCAGTTAGTGGTTCACCCTTTCCTTCCTATTCACTGTCACATCAAGTGACCATATACTACTGTCTGTGCAATAGATCCCTAAAAATAGGTAAGTCGAGGCACTTGCCACTTGCCAGATGCCACGCCCACAGGTTTAGGAGATAACTAGGCCTCTCCTCATTATCCTTTTAGTTAGCAGTGTTCAATATTCTATCTCCCAGGCCCTTAAGTAGCTCCCGGGCTCAGGCAGTTCAAGGTGGATCTTTCTCCTCGCCAACCTTGGGTGTGGGGCAAACTTTTCATGGCAGCTGGGAGATGTGTTTGTGTGTGTGCTTTCCTAATCTTACTCCTTTCCCAATCTGTCTCACAAAATGTGCTTCTGAACACTGGGGGAGGGCTGACATATGAAGCACATTGTTTCCTCTCTTATTTTCTCCCCTTAGCTTTTTGCTATAGTAAGGTGAAAGAGTGTACAAAACCTTTAGCTTGCCTTACAGTAAGAATATTTTGGTAAATTCAGAAATCTCGAACTCAATCAATGAAATTGGTTGTGAATTACATACTTCTCCATTGGCTTCTACTTATTGTGACTTAATGAGCTACAGCATGCAACACTGCACTATCCTCCTATCCATCCCTAGGTTTGTTCTCATTGCAGTGGCCACTGTGTCAATCCATCTCCTTGACATACAGACCAACAATTGTTTCCTCTTACAGAAATTGCCATACCCTAAACTCGGCTTGGGATGGGAAGGTATCCTTTCACTTTTTATTGGAGTCGGAGTTTCTCTAGGACCCTGCCCCTTCAAGCGTCTCCAAAACCACCCTGGTCAGTCCCTATCTTCTCTCCCACAGGCGGATGTTTCCCTCTGTTCGGGTCAAGGTAAAAGGGTTGGAGCCAGAAAAGCAATACTATTTGGCCATTGATGTTGTGCCGGTGGATTCCAAACGCTATAGGTAACTGGGCCATATAAGGGTACTCTAGACCGCACACGGGATGGGGACTGGGACTAAAAATCTGAAATCTGTATCTGGAAAAATCTAGCAAGGAGGGAGGGATTTACTTTTCCCTAGACTTCAGGGGTTGAATAATCTTGCTCAAATCTGAGTTTTAAACCGAGGGAAGAGGTGGCTTATTCTCCTTTCCTCGCATTCCTGGGACAGAAGATTGAATTGGAGTTTCAATATACCGAGCTTCTAGTCTACTGGTTGTTTTACTTTGCTATGCAAGCTGAGGGGTACGGGGAGCGCCATAAACTCTAGTGACCTCGAGGAAAGCAGTTTGGAGGCGTTTTGAGATAAATTCCCCAAACTCAAAGTGGGCCCCAGGCTTCTGGGGCCCTGCAGCCCCAGTTAGGAGCCCAAAAAACACCCCAATTTGCTACACAAGTCTAGACCTTTTCAGCAGCTTTCATCCTTGTGTTGGTCCTTCCTGTCTTCCCTGGTTTCTCCAACTGAATTACCCACAATGTCCCTGAGGGTAGGTGTACACTTTCGATTTAAAATCATGATTTAAAGCAAGCGCAAATAGGCTGAATTGTCCTGAAGTTAAGAGGTGTTTGGGGAGGCAGCCCAGGGACAAGGGTCCACAGAAATGCTCCGATTCAGGAGCTCCAAAAAGAGTGTGGGAGCTGCCTGCTAAGGAGCGGTGTGTGCTAGAGCAAGAGATCAGAGCCTGCCCTCAGAGGAACCAACCTGGCTCTCATCAGTGCCGAGTGAGAGGGAAATGAAGGCAGCACATTTCAAGAGCCTGCAAGGACCCAAACCTTGAAACAGCAGAATACGCTGTTAGCTTTTTGAGTGGCAATTGCGCTGCACTTTTGGGAATGCTGCGTGCGGCTGCGGAAGACTGATGTTGGAAACATTCCAAAAACATGCCTCATGGCCCCACTAACCCTAATTCATAACAGTATTAGAGATTTGGCGTTTTGTTGGTGAAAGTACTTTCATGAAAACTGAAGGCTAAGGCCTGGGCAGATACCTACCTCACCTCTCTGCTTCGTGCTGGACACACGTGGATTTTTCCCCCAGCACTTTTGCCAGTGTAAAATGTGTTAGATCAATTTATTCTCTGTTCCTGTGAGGAAATGCAAACCAGACTCCGATGTCCCATGACCCTTCACTCGCCCTGGCACTTTATTTCATTTTTGTTGTTGTTGTTTGTTTGAAACGAACTTGTATGTCACAAAAGAATCCAAGTCATTTTCACTTGTATTGTTCCTCCTCTTAGAGCCACTCAGACCAATATTTAGGTCTGGCGAGTAAGGAGTTTTGTGGGTTTTTAAGGCTATGAACCTTCTCTCTCTCTGTCTTTCTTAAGTTAAAATTTCACTTATTTTTGTTTTTATTCATATATATTTAAATTTAATTTCCTTTTCATTTGTAGAATATAATACACACAAAGAAAAACATATTTTATATAGTTGCACGGCCTATCTTATCAAATCAGTGAGTTTCACATTAAACTCCCTATATGTAGTTCTTTTTTAATGTTGATGACATATGCTTTTTTATCATTGATTTTCTGACCCTGATCATCTTTTTGGAAATCCGGTAGCATCTCTGCCTTGCTATGAAGGAGCTAACCTTACCAAAATCCCTTTGGACCTGAATTCTGCAGCTTGCCTTCTGTGCTCCTAGCTTTGGTCAACTATGCCTGATGCCATTACCCATGTCTTTTCAGATATGTCTACCATAGCTCCCAGTGGATGGTAGCTGGGAATACTGACCATACGTGCATCACCCCCAGGATCTATGTCCACCCAGACTCACCTTGTTCAGGAGAGACTTGGATGCAACAGACCATCAGTTTTGATCGAATGAAACTCACCAACAATGAGATGGATGACAAAGGCCATGTATGTGAGCATGAGTATAATCTACCCTTCTCACAAAGGCTCATGTTGTGCTCTCTAGGAAATTCCCAAGCCCTGGGATGATCAACAAAGTTACCAGTTCATCTCTCAGGAGCTTTGTTTAACATCTAAGAATGCTTGGGGATATGGGTGGTGACAGATGGGAGTTTGGGGACCTAAAGAAACCTGCTAAGCCAGGATTCCTGGTCTGAGAGAATGGGGTGGGGTGGAGAACCCTCCTGGGCTCTCTGGCCACCCATGAAATTATAGTGAACTTTAATAACATTCCCTTATTCTGTTCTGTCAAATGGGGACCTTTGGTGTGGAGGGATGTGGGGTGTGTTGGAGTGGGGTGGGATGGTGGGAGGATGCAAACAAGGTACCCTGGAACCCTTCCCTCCCACATCTACATACCATAGTCCCTTTTCAGGTAGTATCCACCTTTAGCCTTCTTTCCAGGTACTACTTGCCCTCTAACTTGCCTGGCCCTGTGCCAGTCACCGAAAGACAGAGTAAGAGGCCCACAGAAGTGAGGTAAGTGGGGGATGTCAGAAGGTTGTTCTTTAAGTCCAAACCCACCAATAAATGCCCAAGGAGCCATTAGCAGGCCATCAGGGCCCAGTAACACTTTGATACCACATGATCACCTATGTTGGGAAGCAGGAAAGGGCCCGATCTGAAAATCAAATCACTATTCCCCTGTGATAAGGCGGTACCTCTCTACAGAAACCCCTTACTCATAAGGGCCTAATGTAGGCACTAAATGGCCAGAAAAAGGCTTTATTTGTGGCTACTAGAGAGCCTCTGATTTATCCTTACTTTTGTGTGTGCGTTTACGTGAGGGGGTGGTAATGAGAGCGGGAACAACATTCAGAGGGCAGCATTTCACCATTTCACCTCCAGATCATTCTGCAGTCTATGCATAAGTACAAGCCCCGTGTGCATGTGGTGGAGGAGGACAACAGGGTTGACCTGTCCCAGATTCACTCCCTGCCTACCGAAGGAGTTAAAACATTTTCCTTTAAAGAAACTGAGTTCACCACAGTGACTGCCTACCAAAACCAGCAGGTAAGGAAAGAAGAGTGGGTATTGCTCCAGAGGGAAAAGTGGGAGGGAGGCAAGATGCACCTTATGGATTGTGTTTTCCACCATTGAAAGCCTTCATCGTTTTGATGCATTTTCATAAAGGCAAATTTGATTATGAATTGTAGAACTATTCTTAGAAAGGAGAGCAAATCAAGGTGGCCAGGAGTTAACAATTCCAAATTTGATTCAGCAATATGCTTACATGTACATAAAGTTCTGTATTATAAGCTAGAAAGTATTTTGTGGTTGTAAGCAAGCATCATAAGTAATGGTGACAGTGTTATTATTGAAAGCACTGATTTTATCTCTTTTGAATTCCTAGATTACAAAACTGAAAATAGACAGAAATCCTTTTGCTAAAGGATTTAGGGACCCTGGAAGAAACAGGTAAGCAAAGCATTGGCAATCATGTCTGATATTTATGCAGCAATTTTCATGATTTAAAGATAAAGAAACTGAAATTCAGAGGCTCAGAGATCTTTTTACACATCCAATAAGTAGAAGGGATGAAACTCAGATGTTTTGTCTCTAAAACCTTGCCACCTCCAACTCCTCCCCCCATCTACATTTCAGGTAATCTTTATTCTAGATTTCTAGGATCAACTGGATGTTATTCAGAAGTCTACCTGTAGTAGAAATAATATTTTAGACCATTACTCCTAAACCTTTAACAAAACCACAAGTTTATATAAGTCATTACTTTCAGGAGTTGAATTCTGGCATTGCTGAAAGTTGAGTTTCTTTTGTAGGGGTATATTGGACAGTCTTTTAGAGACCTACTCATGGAGGACTTCTCTCACTCTGGATTTTAAAACCATTGGTACAGACACACCAAGTAAGCACATTTCTAGCCTTACATTTATTTTTTTATGTGTTTGTAATGTATCACCAACCAGAACCCTTGTTCAAAACACTGTTGTTATGTCAATTTTGTAATGACTCCAGATGTCAGAGTAAAACTATCCTTAAGATTTCTAGGCTGAATTTTTATAGGAGCAAATTGCCGTGTCTTTCCCCAGCATATCCTCAGGCCTTTCTCCAGCAGAACAACTGTGTGGGTTCAGCTTGCCACCCCTTTGATTAGTAACCAGCAACTTAACTATTGTGCCACCACAGGGAAATAAGCACGTATTAGAAAATCTATGTTCACAAGCAGTGTGTACATGTACTTACGATGATGGGTGGGTTAGAGACAAAGGGAGCAGAGAGTAGCTGGTCTGAAGAAAAAGAACAGAGTTGTGGAGGCAATGGATTTAACTGTCTTCAGTCTTCATGAGTTTACTTATGTCTTGAGATCTCCAGAGCTCATCTGGATTCATCAGCATCTAACTCACTGCCTCATATTCTTTGGGATCTGAATTTTGTGCCTGGGTGGTCATATTTGCAAGTATTTTAGATATTTTTAAAACATTTTAAATTTTGTAAGAAACTCTCTGCACACATTCCAATAAATTACACCATCATTTAGGTATGATTTTCCTTAAAGAAAATAAGTAATGAATACAGCACTAAGTCATCACAATTAATTTAATTCCACCAGCATTTTAAAGTATTTGGAAAGTATATGTTTTCAGGTGTTGTACACATGTCTAAATAATAATCAGATAAGGCATGATTTCTGGTGCAGGACTGTAACAATAAATGAGTATTTGCAAGCAATATAACATCACTTACTTCTGTCTTTAGTCCATTTAAGTTGTTTGTCCTTGAATATTAAAGTGAAGTTAAAATTATGGAGTAAATTATTGATATTATAGTTAAATTGACCTTTATAGGACTCCATAGTAATTAGCTGGAAGGTAAAGAGAACAAATCTAATCATTTGCTGAAAGTAGTTCACTGAATTTACTGCATTGATGTGGTTTAGGGAGTTTCATATCAAAATATGAACCATTATTTGACAGTCTCACTTGAGATAATTATATTTAGGTAGCATGTTTTTAAAATAGCCAAGTCAGAGTGTATTAATAATGAAACCAATATAGATTATCTTAATTGTAAACGTTTAAATACACCATCTTCTTAATTATTTAATATGTCCAGAATAATCTCATTTTTCAAAGAAAAGGGTCCCAATTTTAAAAACAATCTTTTATTATTTTATTGTAGAGATAATTGCTGCCTTATTGATAAAGGTTCAGGTTGTGTCTACCTACTGAAAATAGCTAAGAAAAACGACAGCAGCACCAAAGCAAACAAAACCACCTTATCAAGTTCAATCAAGAGCCAATTGTCTAATTGAATTAAAAACAAAAGACGTAGAGTTCAGATTTTCCTATTCCTTATGATTATTCCTAATTTTATAAATTGTAGACAACTATGAAAGATCACTTGACTATATCCACATGAATATTTTCAGTCTCATCTGGACGTTTCCTTGCTCTGAGAAATTATCTTTAATTCTTCCTATGGTGCACCGTGAGAGACTTCTCCTTCGCTATTTCCGATAAGAAGAATATCTAATGCTTTTATATGTGCCATTTTCATTTCTATATCAGTTTCCGGTTCATTGACTTTTACCAGACTAGATCCCTGGTGGCTTACTGGGTTACATGTTGGGCTGCTAATCCAAGGGTCAGTAGTTTGAACCCACCAGTTGCTCCACAAGAGAAAGGTGAGGCTTTCTACTCTAGTAAAGATTTATAACCTTGGAAATCCAAAGTGGCAGCTCTACTCTGTCCTATAGCGTCGCTAGGAGTCGGAATCGACTCTATAGCAGTGTATTTTGTTTTCTTTTGTTTTGTTTGAAAAGCCAAAAGCCCAGTGCCATCAAGTTGCTTCCAAGTCATAGAAAATCTGTACAACAGTGTAGGCTATATCCAAGGCACAGTGACTGGTATTCCCAAACCACCTGTCTTTTTGGTCATAGCTGAGTGCTTTAACCACTCACCACCTGGGTTCCTTTATCAGAATGAATCATGTATAAATCCCAAACAACCAATTTATTCAGCTCAGTCAATTACTTATGTTAGTAAATTTTTTATGTTTAAAAAAATAAAATGCTACTTTCGCTTGTATCTATAATTGAATCGGGGTGGCACTATAATTAGACTTCTTTTGTAATTCATTAGTTAAATATAGTTCAACTTCCTAACAAAGTCCTTGAGAATAGTGAATGTTCAATGTGCGATACATCAGAGCAGTTCTAGTATGATTCAATTTTGGTCACGATAATAGCTATGTCTTTTCCGAAAGAAACTAAAAGAACTAAGAATGCTTACAGAATAGAATAGAAGCGCTATAAGAATGATTACTAATTCAGTAGGAATATGAAGTTCATTATTCATTGCCTGAATTGTCATTCACAGGTGGACACAGTGGCTCATCTCCAGTGACCTCTAGTGGAGAGCCTCCCTCTCCTTTGAATCCCATACTTTCTCCACCTTGTTCCCCGCCTACGTGTTACTTACCTACAAACTGCCTTGGAATGTCCTGTCTGGAGGCATCTCTGCACAATATCAATCTGCCTCCTTGCTACAAGATTTGCCCAACTAGCTTTTGGCAACAGCAGTCTCTTGTCTTGCCTTTTTCTGAAAATTTATCAAACAGCAACATTCCACAGTCGTTCGTCCCACTCATAATGGACACGCCCATGTTATCTTCCCTGGAGGCCACTAATTCAAAAAATGATTTATCTGAAAACTTCAGTGGACAGTGCGTAAAAGTACCTAATTCTGTCAATCAAATATTGCAAACATTAGAGGCACCTAGATACATTTCCCCCCAAAACTCCATTGCTCAGAAAGTATTTGGTTGCTCTTTCTACCCTTCCTATGGACTTTACAGATACAAATTCCCTATACTACCTAGACTGGTAAATGGTGCAGACCATCCCAAAGTGAATGACGACAGTCAATTTTCATTTAGAGAAGTCAAAGGGAATCATGCTTATTGGTATCCAACAATTAACCACTGTGTTTAATGGTATATTCATATTCCTAAACTAATTACATGTAAGCATATATTTTCTTTATTTGTAGCTAAAGAAAAATCATGACTGGAGAGTATTGCTATGTTATGCATTTAAAGTGCTTTCCCAAATGTTCATAAGAAGTTGTTTATAATATCCAATGTATACTATAAGAATCTTTGATTGAAGTGACTGTGGGCTACAAAATACACTCAATAAATATTATTTGATATGATAACCTACTACTGAATATTGACACTAGATGACTTGGTCTCTAATTATAATGAAGCCAGTTTACCAAGCCAACTGTCTCATATATTGACTCTGCCCAATAAAAGATAGATTTAATTTCTCTAAGAACAGAGGAAGAGGAAGAGTTTGGGTTTTAATATTAAAACTGGCTTAACTATAGTTATCTATCTTGTAGCTGTTAAATAATCCGCAAATCTTTATTTTTAAGTTGTAAATAAGGAAAACATTTTTCAATATTATTTTAATTCACCTTTATAGTCCAAAGACAATTTCATAATGGAGAAACTCAAGATCAAGTGGAAAGTAAAACATTCAAAATAAATTTGATTTATTTCCTTTTATCACTTGGATTATTCCTAGGTAAAGCTTATATACTTGTTTCTTTAACAAATCTGGCATTTTATACAGAGCATACAAAAACAAATTATGAAACTTTTCTAAGAAAACTTAGAAATTAAGATTTTAAAGGAGAGCATGTATTTAAGTCTATAAATATGAAAATATTATTAAATTAGTAGAGCTTAATTTCACTCTTATGTATCAGTCATTGGGTCACTGAATCAGAATAGACTCGATGGTAGTGAGTGTAAATTAGTAAATTAGTAAAGAATAGCATAAATAAGAATTATAGTTTTATTTTATGAAATTGAACATTTTCTTCTCAGTAGGCTCTAAATTATCTGAAAATAAGTGTGATGCATAACCTAGATATAACCTAAAGATCTTTAAAATGAATCCTATTTTGATGTTCATGTTCATACTAAGTCATTTTAGTAAGCCAGGGCCTTTCATGACTTAACAAGTGACAAACCAGCCAAACTGAAAAGCTGCTTTTCTAAATTTTCCAACACAAATTAGGAAAAAATATTATTATTTACTTTTCTCCAAGTAGTTATTTCTATCTAAATGTGCCTTATATGTACTTTCATACATATGCATTGAAATTTTTATATCTTTTTACTCCTAAGGGTAGAGACAGATGCAAGTTAATTTTTTTTTAATTTTAAAAAATTATTTTATTGAGGGCTCGTACATTTCTCATCACAGTCCATACATACATCCATTGAGTCAAGCACCGATGCACACCTGTTGCCCTCATCAATCTCAAAACACCTGCTCTCCACTTCAGCCCTCAATATCGTTTGCTCATTTTCCCCCTCCCTCCTGAACCCTTCATAATTCATAAATTATTATAGATTTGTCATGTTACCCTATCCGACGTCTCCCTCCGCCCTCTTCTCTGCTGTCCATCCCCCAGGGAGGAGGCTATACTTAGATTCTTGTCATTGGTTCCCCCCTTCTACCCCACATTCCCTCACCCTCCAGGAATCGCCCCTCTCTACAAGTTAATTTTTGTGTAGTCCAAGAGAAAAGTTGCAGGCTAACTTTAACTGGTAAAGCAAGTTATGAGTTCTCATTTTTGAACAGAAGCTCCCATATCAGATTATTGTGATTCTTGTTGTTAGGTGCCATCGAGTCAGTTCTAACTCAGAGCAGCCATATGCACAACAGTACGAATACTGCCAGGTCCTGAGTCAGTTCTAACTCAGAGCAGCCATATGCACAACAGTACGAATACTGCCAGGTCCTTCACCATCCACAGTTGTTCTTGTGTTTGAGCCCATTGTTGCAGCCACTGGGTTGACCCATCTTGTCAATGCTTTCCTCTTTTTCAATGACCCTTTACTTTGCCAAGCATGAAGTCCTTCTCTCCTGATAACATATGCAAAGTACATGAGATGAAGTTGTGCAATCCTGACTTCTAAGGAGCATCCTGGTTGTACTTGTTCCAAGACAGATTTGTTTGTTCTTTTGGAAGTCCATAGTGCTGCCAGCACCGGAATATACATGCACAGACCGTGCGTGCTTCAGTTTTCCTTACTCAACGTCCAACCTTCACATGCATATGAGGTGATTGAAAATACCATTGTCTTTGGTAGAGCACACCTTTGTCTTCAAAGTATCAGCCTTGCTTTTTAAGACTTTAAAGAGATCCTGTTCAGCAGATTTACACAATACAATGTTTTCTTTGATCTCTTGACTGCTACTTCCATGAACACTGACTGTGTATCCAAGCAAGATGAAATCCTTGAAAACTTCAATCTTTTCTCTATTTATCATGATGCTATTGATCCAGTTGTGAAGATGTTTATTTTTATTTTTTACATTGAGTTTTAATCCATACTGAAGGCTGCAGCTCTTGATATTCATCAGCAAGTGCTTCAAGTCCTCTTCACTTATAGCAAAGTTGTGTCATCTGCGTATCACAGGCTGTTAATAAGCCTTTCTCTAATCTTGATGCCTCATTCTTCTTCACATAATCCAGCTTCTCTGGTTATTTTCTCACCATACAGTTTGAATAAGTCTTACAAGTCAATGCAGCCCTAACACACATCTTTCTTGATTTAAAGCCATGCAGTATTTCCTTATTCTGTTCACCTAACTGCCTCTTGGTTCATGTACAGATTATCATGAGACTCATTTTGAGGATTTATGTAGGAGATCCTCACTTATTGACAAAAGAAAGTATTTAGCTGAAAAATCCAGAACCGTTTAGAGTTGATTTTTAATAATTACATCACAGAAGGCTTTAATTTTTTAGCTGCCCTATAGTACATATGTCCCATACTTTTATTATATTTCATATAATTTTGCCATATATTTTCCATATAAAACTGATAATACTATATTAATCATGGTGATTGAATCTAAAGGAGCAAATATTTAAATGCTGGAAGCTACAAATTTATTTTTCATTCTCATATAATGTTCATGATCTGTCATTTCATATTTTTAATTAAAGAAGTAGCCAATATGGATGACAGTGGGAGCCCAAGATATATTTGTGGGAACTGCATAGGAAATAAGTCCCTGGTGATCTCCCTCTATCCATAATTGAGGGCTGGGAGGAGAGTGATTACTAAACAGAGTGCATTGGACAAATGAATATAGAAGATTAAAAAGGGATAAACCTGACTGGAACAGTTAACATTTTGTCATTTGATCCCCCTTCTGATGCACGCAGGACCTGATCTGGTTTTCAACATTTTCTGTATTTTTGTTTGTTTGTTCATATTAGGGTTTATCTCAGAGGTGTTATGTCATTGGGGGTCACCCTCTTAAAGTTGTGTTATATGTTTTTCTGTTTTTCAGTATATGAAACCTAAGATTGGTGAACCTATAGGGACAGCAAGTAGAATAAAGGTTTCAGGTGGGTGGGGTGGTGGTAGGATGGGCAGTACAGTGGTGGGTTGGAGGTAAAAGGGACCTGATATCAAGGAGTCCAGGAAGGAAAATGATGTTTGGAAACTGATTGTGGTAGCATTTGTATAAAACTGCTTGATGCGAGTGAACTGTGGAATGATATGTGTATTAACTCCCAATTCATAATAAAATTTTTAAAAGAAGTAGACAAGATAAAAGTTTTCATAGAAATTTAGACCTGAAATAGACCTCCAGAGATCCATTAAGCAATGTCTTGCTCCTATGAAAATTATTCACATAAAGAAAGAACTAATTAAAAAGGAAGAAAAATAAGGGTATTTAGTGTCCATATCATTGCACATTGAGGAATGGTTTACTCCAAAAAGGGTGATACTAAACTTCAGTAACTTGGGAACTGAGTGCTATGGTTATAAGATAAATACAAAACAAAATGCTATGAAATTCTTTTAATCCTCAACCAGTTGTCCACACAACTCTACTCTTGGTGACCTCATGTATGTCAGAGTGGAACTGTGCTCTCTAGTGTTTTGATGGCTGAGCTTTAAGAGGTCGATTGCTAAGTTTTTCTTCAAAGGCACCTCTGCGTACATTTAAGCCTTCCAGTCCTTTTTGTTTGTTTCTTTCTTAAACAGTTTTATTGGCATTTCACCCACATATCATACAATTCAGCAGTTCTACCATATCAAGAAGAGTTGTACAATCATTACCACAATCCATTTTAGATCATTTCTTCTTCCCTGTAGTCATGATTTGTAGTAGGCGGGGTTGACTAGAGAAACAAATCCAGTGACACTCATATATGTGTAAGAGAGAGCTTAATATAATTATATTTCAAGCAAACATTCCAGCCCAGTCCAGATCAAGTCCATAAGCCCTATGTTAGTCCATAAATCCTTCTTCAGACTCAGGCACCCACATGTAATGATGCAGAGTGCAGGAAGATCACAGGCCTGTGTGTGCAAGGTGTGCAATGGCAGTGGCCACATCACAGGGCTCACTCAGGTCTCAGCATGGCTCCCCAGCATGAAGGTGAAGAAAGAGAAAGAGGGAGAGGTTTTCAGGAGCCCCCTTTTGAGAAGGCCATGCCCACAAGAGGCACCATCAGGCTGTGACCGGATTGATACGCTAGACTCCACCCCTACACTTTATATCTTCAAGTTTACCCAAAATTATGTAACTACCACATTATGATTAGTGTAATTTTGCGTGTATGTCAAAAATATGCATAAGAAAACATTCTCCAATTCAAAAACGTCTACATGTATAATTTAGTGCCATTAATTATACTCTTCCTTTTGTGAAACCGTTATTAATATCCTCTTCCACATTATTCCACCACTGTTAACATAAATTCAACTTAAGCAACAACTCTTCCTCCTTCACCCGTTAACATAAATTCAACTTAAGCAACAACTTCACCCATGATAACCATTGATCAATTTTAGTTTCTTTCTTTCTTCCTTTTCTTTAGCATTTTTTCTTGATATTATATTTGTATATTATACATTCCATATTAAATCACTTTTTTAAAGAGTTGTAAAACATCATGACAACCAGTTCTTGTGCTTCCTCCCCTCTCCCGCATTGTTTGCTTCCCAACTTCCCTCACTCTCTCCAACACCCAGCCCTAATAAATCATTGCATCCGTTATAATCTCTATCCTCTTTCTGTTCTTCATAGAATAGGACCTAACAGAAACAACAGAAAACAAAAATGAAACAAAAAGAAGAAAAAAATAGAATAATAATAGTAATATAAAGATAAAAATTAAAATAAGGAGTAAGAACTAAAAGACCAACAACAATATTTTAAAAACCACAGAAGAAATTTCTATTTTCATACAAGCAGGAAATATTTCAGCAAACAGAAATTCCAGGTTGGATCAAGAGGGAAGTCAACTGACCAAGTTTCCTTGGTTCGATCCACCATAATCAAGTTTACAATAATCTCTGTCTGATAGTACAGCTGTTCAAGTTCCTCGCCTGTGGCCAGAGGGAATTTGCGAGTGGCTTAAACTGAATAAATACTCTGTAGATGGATTTGGGGTTCCCACTATTACCATAGCCTTCTACAAATTGGGCATTCACAATTTAAAGTCTGATACTTTTTCTTGAACCATCTTTGGATTTTTTTATAGTCATCTTTGTATCACACAAGCTGGTGTGCTTCTTCAATGTGGACTTGGTTGATGCCTCATTTAGGAGGCTGCTTGCTTGAACACAAGCCTTTAAGACCACAGGAAGTATTCCAGTTAATAACCGGGCACCATCTGTTTTCTTCACTGCACATTGCTGTAGCACCCTCATCTTCAGTGATCTCTTCATGAAGGCCTGTATCTACCAGGGCCATGTTATAAGAACTAAGCATTCTTGGATTGGGGCAAAAATTATGTAGGAGTACAGAACCCATTAGCATGTCCACAGGTTATGAACAACTCTGGTTTACCTTGGTGGTCATATTGTGACAAAAACAAAAATAAAAACCAACAAGAATGACAAAAACAAACAAAACAAACAAGAAAAGCTGTCAATTTTCCCCCTGAAGTATAAGATGATTGCATTGATACCATCAATAATTTATCCAATGGTACATAATTTAAGGTACCGTTGATATGAGCATTTTATGTTAGTATAGTTCAACAGCGAGCTGCAATTCATGAGTCATTGCTTTGTACATAATGATTTCTTCATTGATTGGACTCTGTTGACATTGAGCATGGGGTTGATGCTAGGTGAAAATTCCCTGTACCATTCCTTACAAAGGCAGATCCTTGTCTATCAGACTAATTCCTCTCATTAATGCATTGGGAGCATTGAGATATTAAATATATGGTGGTCTTGGTCCCCTTCCTTGAACACCCACTAAGATAGGGGGTCCCACCCAAGTTACAAGGAGCTTCATTTCCACAGATTTGGGGTGGAAGTCCATTGCTTCCATTCCAAACAGGGAATTTCAGGCTGAATTCCAAAGGCTACAGGTAGTTTGGAGGTAGGTCCCAGATTGTTAATTGGGCTTCTTCCACATCAAGCCCTTCTGGTGTGGCCCTTGGAGGAATGCTGTGTTCTCTGTATGGCCAGAATCTAAGACCTAGAACCTTTTGTTTACCAACCTAGTCTTAACCCTTTGAAGCACTCTGCAATTCTAACAAAATAATAGGTTTACTTTTAAAACATACAAAAATCAAAAGCCACTCTGATTAGGTAAGGGATGAAGTACAAACAAACAAATGGGTCTGAATTATATTAAATGAACCCCAGGTCTATTAATAAAAACCACCGTTTCCATTTGTTTTGATCATAATCCATGCCTTCACACAAACACACACACACACACTTTAAAGGGAACAGCTTAATGTAGCTGACTAAGTTTGAAAATATGATACTCAATCTAACCTGGTTATTTAATTTTCCTCAAATCTGAGTAAACTGTAAAGTTTTCACTTTGGGACAATATATAAATCAATTTTACTTCATCCTGTGACAAGCACTTTTGTCAGATCTCCTTGTCAGCAAGCTTTATTTACTTATTTTAAAAGTTTTATTAGCACTTCATCCACATGCCATACAATTCAATAGTTCAATCATATCAGGACGAGTTGTACAACTATTGCCATATTCAAGTCTAGAACACATTCATCTTTCTTTTACTCATTGTTATTATGCAATTTTTTTCTAATTGTGGCAAAAAATATACACAACAGAACATTCTCCAATTCAACAACTTCTACATGTAAAATGCAGTGCCACTGATCATACTCTTCATGTTGCATAACCATTATTGATATCTTTTCCCACATTTTCCCACCACTGTTAACATCAACTCAATGCCTCCTAAGCAACAACTTTTCTTCAGCTAAAGAAATCATTGGTGAATATACTTACCTGGCAGGAGAGACACTGTGATCACGAAGGTGGTTTTCCCAGGACGAGACTTAGCCATCGCACTCCGGATGTGCTCACCCCTGCGATTTCCCCAAATGTGGGAAATTCGACTGCATAATTTTTGGTAGTGGCGGACTGTGTTCACGCTCTTCCCTAAAAAAAAAAAAAAATCGTTGGTCAAGTTTGGTTTCTTTCACTTTTTTTAGTAATTTTCTTGATAACAACTGGACAAAGTGACAATGACAAATGAAGACAAGCAACAACATTGGACATAATGGAATATTTCCCTTTTATTCTTTCAGTCCTATGTAATGCTCAACATGAGGAAAACCCATGTGCATATAAAGAGGATAATATATATCTTTTAAGTGCTAATGCTGTAGTGCTAAGTCAGTACATAAATGTTTTGTCAAAGTATTTGATGCACCTTTCAGAGTTCAGAAGCATGCTTATAAAAAATTCTGATTTCTTGAAATGATGTTTATCCCCAGGGAATACCAAAAATAGACTTTGGGTCCAGGGCATGGCACCCCATCAGACTCAACCGGAAAAAACTCCTAAAGGTCAACAAACAGACCTTGAACTATTTACAGGCTTTTCTCTTTTTTTGTCATTTTTTGTTGTTGCTGTTATTTTGTTTTCTTTTGTTGCTTGGTTTTGTTCTGTCTTGTTTTTCATGCATATAATTATCTCTACAGGTCTATCTAGATAAGATAGACGGGATAAACAATCTTGAGGAGAAAACAACGGAACCTACAGTTCCAGGGGGACATGGGAGAGGAAGAGGTGGGGGAAAAAGTGGGTGTCAACAAACCTAGGGATGAGGAAACAACAAGTGATCCAAAATCAATGACGAGGAGGGTGTAGGAGGCCTGGTAGGGCTTGATCATGGGCAATGTAACCTAGAGGAATTACTGAAACCCAAATGAAGGCTGAGCATGATAGTGGGAGAAGTGGAAAGTCAAAGGAAATAGAGGAAAGAACTAGGAGGCAAGGGGCATTTATGGAGGTCTAAATACAGGCATGTATATATGTAAATATATTTATATATGAGTATGGGGAAATATATATTTGTGTATATATTTATAGGTTTAGTATTAAGGTAGCAGATGGACATTGGGCCTCTACTCAAGTACTCCCTCAATGCAAGAACACTCTGTTCTATTAAACTGGCATTCCATGATGCTCACCTTCCCAACACAATTGCTGAAGACAAAGCGGGTGCATAAGCAAATGTGAAGAAAGCTGATGGTACACAGCTATTAAAAGATATAGCGTCTGGGGTCTTAAAGGCTTGAAGGTAAACAAGCGGCCATCTAGCTGAGAAGCAACAAAGCCCACATGGAAGAAGCACACCAGCCTGTTTCATCACGATGTGTTTATAGGATCAGGTATCAGGCTTCAAAGAACAAAAAATTATCAAGTGTTTGTGAGGGATGGAGGGTGGGAGGAGGGGAAAAAGAAGGAGCTGATACCAAGGGCTCAAGTAGAAAGAAAACATTTTTTTGAGAATGATGATGGTAACAAATGTACAAATGTGCTTGGCACAATGGATTGTGATAAGAGTTGTACAGGCCTCCAATAAAATGATTTAAAATAAAAAGAAAAGAAACAATGTTTGTGTATACAGTAGGGTAATATGCAGTTATTAACTACTTGCCCACTGCATTCAAGTCATAGTATCCTGTGGGTTTCTGAGACTAACTACTTACTGAGGTGGAAATGCCAGTCTTTCTCCCAAGGAGCTGCTGGTGGTTTTGAACTGCTGACCACACAGATTGCAGCTCCACTCATAACCACTAAACCATCAGGGCTACTATATACTTACTGAACCTCACTAACAAAGTTTATTTTTCCTTCCTTAACTGAATATACAGTATAATAAATTTCAGATGCCACCCAATATACATAACCAATAGAGTTTTACTTTGATTTTGTTTTTAAAGAATTTACACAATACTGATTTTTCTACTTCCCCATCCCAAAAATAATATCACAAAAAGAACACCTATTAACTCCATGCTACACTATTAATTTTATATACATGTATTAGTCTGGGTTGACTAGAGAAACAAATCCAGGGAGACTCATATGTATAAGAAATAACTTTATATAAAAAGTAATTGTGTATTAAAAAAACATCCCAGGCCAGTCCAGATCAAGTCCATAAGTTCAATATTAGCCCATATGTATGATACCAGTCTATAAAGGCCAGTGGATAGAAAATCATGTGGATCCAGTGGTGGTGGATGTGCCTCCTCCAGCTCCAGGACACTGGCTCCATCAGCGTAGCTCCATGTGGCTTGTCAACAGGAATGTGTAGCAGAGAGCATGTCTGGCCTCTAGTGAGCTATTTATCTCTGTGCCTCCAAATGAGGTCATTAAGCTGTGAGCTGATTGACAAGTTAAACTCCACCCCTTCACTCTTAATAGTCTCAAACTGACACCAAATTATGTAACTACCACAATACTTAGGTTGGATTATACTTAGAATATCTATTTGCATTTTTAATTGAATTCACTGGGTGGATCTACAATGACTTTTCAGCCTTTGTGCTGAAAGATCTTAATTAGCCAAAATAACAATAATATCCTGGTACACAGCAACAGTTTACCATTTGATTTCATTGGAACTCAGCATGTTCTATTTGCATACTGTAGAATAATCCAAATGAATACCTTAGGCATTAGTAGCAGTTGCTTTGATATAAATGCTTGGATATATGAGCTATTGCTTGTATATGCTTGTATTTTGCTAATATATTCAATCTTCTAAGGTTTGTCTGCAGCTAAATTATAATTTGTATGAAAATTGTACAAATAAACATGGTTGAGATGACAATATAAACAGAATAAATAGATACATACATTTGAAACATATCCAATAACATTTGAAACATATCCAATATTGCCATAATTTACTTACATAATGATGTACAACTTTTGACATGCTGTTTCAATAAAATATTGAGAGGAAAAATCCTAGCACTTCTTTACAAGTTTCAAATGTTCATGTTTACAAATTTGTACTTCACATTATTATGTAAACATATTTTATAGTGAACAGATGTACAGAGAATAGTTACAGAATCATTATACTTAGTGAAATATATTCTAGGTTTTTAAAGTTCCTAAAATAGAAAACTTTAAACTAAATATAATCAAAACTCTTGAAATTATAACTATAATTAATTGTCAATAAAAATGTTTTCCATAACTTCCTACATTTTCATTGTTACAGGTAACATAATTTAGATATTGGATTTAAGAGTATAAACTTATATGCACCCAGTAAAGTATAACTTAATATTTGATCTATAGAAAATGGTATAATAAACAGGAGCAATATAGCCCCATGTTTTTCCCATGGAGTTTGAAGTACTGATCTTGCAGGTAGTCCCCAGGGCATAGGTCTAAGAATAACAAAAGCCACAACATACTATTAAAATAGTAATAAAAGAATATGCCTCCACTGGAAACCTTGGGCAGTCCAAACTATCAAAGTGCTTAGCTACGAACCAAAAGATTAGAGGTTGGAGTTCACCAAGAAATAGATTAGAAGAAAGGCTTAATGATCTATTTTCATAATAAACCATTCCAAAAATAAACCATTGAAAATTTGGTGTAACAAAGTTTTACTTTGTCACACGTGGAGTTGCACTGAGTTGGAATCAACTTGACATCAGGTGTTTTGTTGTGATTGTTCTATTTCTTTTAATGTTTCCATTGAATTAATTTCCACAGTATGGGTAACCACAGTTTAGATATTGGCAAATAGGTAGTTTCCTATCTTTGACTACTATGAATGAAGCAGTTATGACCATTCATGTAAAAGTTTTTGTTTGAATATAAATTTTCACTTACCTGGGATAAGGGTTCAAGAATGCTATAGATTAAACCTCAATATAAAAATTATTCTCTGATTGGTATAGTCCAAAATTATGAAAAAGTTAATTTGGCCAATCTGCCATTTTCCTTGTTGCTGTTCTGGAGGAATGAATTTTTGGTGGTCCTTACTGAACCATTAAATATATATTTCTCAATGGTATCTTTTCTTTTAGAAATCCAACTTCTATTAAGGTTATATGATTACCCCTTAATTCTTGATTAAGTTTTTGTTGATTGATTTTATTTTGTAGTTTTGGAGGAGTAATTGGCCCAACTCTTTCTTCTAAGTTATTGAAATTTACATTGTTATTAGGTATCTTTAAGCCAGTTCTTACTCATAGCAATCCTACGTACAACAGAAGGAAACACTGCCAGTCCTGCCTGCATCACCCTCTCAATTATTGTTTGAGCTCATTGTTGCACCCACTGTGTCAATCCAGCTCCTTACGAGCCTTCCCCTTTTTTTTCCTGAGGATCCATGTTACTTCCAGTGTTCTTTGCCCACACCATAATACATCCATTCTATTGCAGTTTTCCATATTTATTCTCCAAATTTCACATGCATATGAGGTGGTTGAAAATGCTATGGCTAAGGTCACACACACACTTTAGTCCTCAAAGTGATATACTTGTTCTTCAGGACTTTAAAGAGGTCTTGTGCAGCTCAGTGCAATATATTACATAATTTCATGAGTACTGCTTCGAGAAGTAAAATGAAATCTTTGACAACCTCAATCTATTCTCTGATTGTTATGATGCCGTCCTTTGGTCCAGTTGTGAGGATTTTTGTTTTGTTTACTGTGAGTTGCAATACATATGGAAGGCCACAATTTTTTTTTCATCAGCAAGTGCTTCAATTTCTACTTGCTTTCAGTAAGCAAGCTTGTGTCATCTGCATATCAAAGGTTGTTAACGAGCCTTCTGCCAATCCTTAATGTTGCATTTTCTTCATATAATCCAGCTTCTCAGATTATTTGTTCAACATACAGATTGAATAAGCATGATGACAAAATACAACTTTGATTCACACTTTTCCTAATTTTAACCCACAAAATATATTTTTCTTGATTTTAAACCACACAGTATTCCCTGCTCAAATGATTGCCTCTTGGTCCACATAGGGTTCTGAGTGAGCACAATGAAGTATTTTGGAATTTCTATTCACTGCTATGTTATTGATAGTTTGTTATGATCCATACAATCAAATTCCTTTGCATAATCATTAAAACACAAAAACTTCTTCCTGGTATTCTATTTTCAGTCAAGAA